GCGACAGTCGAGCAGGACAGAGTACTATTCGTATACGAAGAATTGTAAATGATGTGATGCGCCAATTATATCATTACCGCTTGTTAAAAATACTTAAAAATTTTTTGTAAAGTTGCATAAATTAAATAAACTGAAATTTTGTGGAGAGTTTAGCTCTCGAATATAAAATCATTTCCATATACTAAGCCTATGCGTATCCAATATTCATGTTACATAGTCGAAAGAATGACATATTATCAGTTGCGATTAAGCATTTCATGACAACTGTATACAAATATAGAATAATTCACGTCGTCAGATTCTTGCTAATGGTTATACAAGACATCAAGTCAATTTTATTTTTAATTCTAATAAAGATTTGTTATTCATTTATTATCAATACATTATGGAGCTTAAACATTTGACCTATTGGCTTCTAAGCGATATTTCTTAATTTAATGAGTTATGGAATATGCAATCAAAAAGTAATTACTTCATAAATAATTAATTAGTGCGATTAAAGTCAAATATCGTAAGAAAACACGAATTTACAAAATGTAGATCAATCGTTTTAAATTTGAATAAAGGATAGTTGACAAATATTAGTCGTAATTATTTTTTAACTTCTAACGTATTCTAACCTTCATTAGAAGGTGATTACACTACGCAAAATAAAAACAAGAAAACAGATCATAGAAATACAATTTTTTCTTAGTGTTGGTATAGCAATATAATAAAATAGTTTAATAATAAATATTTCATTATGTGAGTCATTCTATTATAAAGTAAATGGGATGCCAACAGTTTCATTAACATTTTGTTTCTTTGTAATAATCTACTTCATTTGTTAATCCTAAATAAACTAAATGAAATATACTTAAATTTAAATACGTAAGTTTTGTATTTCGTATTAACTACATTTTGAATTTTTAGTGTAAATTCCTTGTTTAAATACTGAAAATTATTTTGACGTTTTTGCCGTCATCATATGGTATATTTACATTAAATTTTTTTGTTGTAATTTTCATAATTTTAAAGATACATTAAATGAAATGAATGTAACTAAAAATAATGCCATATAAGTATTTATTATAACAAATATTGTATAAAATTTAACGATCAATATTTAAAATACATACGTTTGCGGTTATATTAATTTCACACTCATTTAAATACATTATTTTTTTACAAAATATATAAGATCAAGAATAAATGATCGTAAATATTATAAACGGATAATACTTGTGTCTATATATTTTTATTACTTTATGACTATAAAAGAATTTTAATTCTTCTGCTTTTAAATCTACTAATGATAATAAAAAAATATGATAATAAAAGGAGAAAAACGAAAAAATTAAATGTAAATATAGTCAAATTATAATGGTACAAGAACTTATAATAGGAAAACTTTAACACAATTGTCAAAATTAAGTTTATAAATTCAATATGTATTATATAAACGATATATTATCTTGTTTATTTTTTATTCAATAACTTTTACAATATTTTTTTAAATACATATATTATAATGGAGAAAAAATTGAGGTCACATAAGCTATCTATCACTTAAGTTTTTATAATCACGATTTCATAAATTTAAAAATTTTCTTGTTACTGACTGTGAAGATAAATTAATAGATAATGTGAAGAAATTTTTTTTTTTTTTGTAACCACAGAGAATATTCAAAACAAAAAAATCTTCTTTTTTGATTATGCCGTCATTACTTTTTTTTTTCTTTCTCTTTTATCTTTTTGGTGAAATTCCTTCTACGTACATACATTTTTCAATTTATATTTCTCTTGCGCTTACAAACAATTATTGTTATCATATTAATTTTCAAATTGTAAATAAATGAAAATGATAATTTTTAACTTCAATGTTTAATATTGTTAAAAAAAAGTTACAATGTTTTCTCATCGGTTCCCGATAAACTATTAACAATGAGACAACATGCATTTATATGTTTCAATTTCAAAACGACTTATTACTTTGCCGTATGTATATAAACAAGTCATTTAAATTGATTAGACGATTGATTATATCCATTTTACTTTTCAATAATGAGCATCTTTTTTTGTGGTAAATGCTGTTTTCAAGATTTTTTAATAAACAAGGAATTTGTTAGGAATTTATTTGCTTAAATTGTGCCATATCAAAATATTTCGTTAGTCCGTCATTAAGGAAGTGTTCATAATGATGAATGTCCCTTGGAGTAATTTAAAAATAATAGTTTCCCAGTATATACGATAAATACATATTAAAAAACTATATTTATTAATAATAATAATTTGTAATAATTTAACAAAAACTAAAAAAGTAGAAATATTTTGTATTTAATCTAAATGGTATTCTATCTGAGTACTACATCATTTATCTATTTTTTGTAATTGCAGTTTGTATGATAATAAATCGCGTGATTTGAGAAGTTGATTTTTTTTTATTACTTTATGCATAATATGCTTTTTTTTTATGATGATGAAATACAATAAATAAGAATTAACAAGTCCTTATTAAAATGAATTAATGATGCAAAATGAGGCTGCGGATGTTATTTATCGATCGTTTAGTTAATTTATTATTTATCATCGATAATTAGCTTTCACCGAAGCGTGAGAAATACTCTTATATTTTGAATTCGTGCCCTAATAAGAATGCGAATAAGACTCTAAATTGTCAAGATAGTTTTAGTGAAAGATTTATTTTCATTTTTATACTAGAAAACAATTCATTACAGTTATTATTGAAATTTAATACTATTATTATAAATAATGTTAAATAAGTGTCCTTATAATATTGTATTGTGCCATAAAATTATATTTGTGCAATATATATGTTAATGTATTCATGTCTATCGAATGCTTATTATTTATTTAACTTCGTATTATTTTCAAAATATTAATCCAACAATATTTTTATATTATTTTCTTCTGAACCAAAAAATATTTGCTTTATTAATGATATTTAATAAGCATCTACATCCTATCTCGTTCTTATAACTATCAATTGCATGGAAAAAATACAAGATACTTATTAAATAATAAGTAATATTTGTTAATCTGATGGCTCTATGTCTTTAATGCAGATGAAAAATTTTATTCAAACAATGTGGTAAAATATCTGTTTCGATCTGCAGATTTTTCCACTGACATTTTATTTATTTAAAGATCTGATCTAAATAGTCCAATACCAAAATATAGCGAAGTATTTTTGCCTTTCTCTCTTATTTGCTTATTGCATTTTATAATATTAATATTTTACGAGTTTTTATTCTGCTAAGTACGCTTGAAACGCACCCTATGCCAATGATTACAACAATGAGATTAAATAATAAACGTACAAAAATTTTGATTTTGTAAATGCCAATTTGAATGTAATTTTGTAGGATAATTGTGATGTACTTTCATTTGCTTGAATCTCCAGTAATTGTATTAATGAGCTATTTTGAGAATAAGGCAAACTTTTTGAACAGGGACAAGAAATCAAAAGTAATGATAATCTTATAAATAGTTATTAAATACAATCGCTTATGCAATAAAATTTCTTATACATTTGTATTCCTCTGCACGACAGTAACATCTTACGGTCGTTTCTTAAGCTGCACAACAAGTGTTGTTGCGTAGTATCGATATTGCAGAAACTTATTTTATCCAAACGTTAATTAAAATTTCTACCTTGATAATTTTTCAGTTAATAAGTACAATTCCTACAACTATTCATTTGATCAATTTGCCGAGAGTGTTAAGGTCATTTAATATGAATTAGCTGAGATATTATAATGGATACGAGCGTTGTGACATTTTAATAATATACGTATTTTTAGCGAGGGATTTATGTATTGGCATTAAGTTTTATTGTTTTTATTTATTAGAATAATAATTAGGAATAGATTGAAATCTTATTTCGAACAAAATTTTAATATTCCCATTGAATTAATTTTATCGACTAATAAATTATCAATAATAATTATCTCGGTATACGTATTTTTATAAAAATTATGAATTTTTCATTCGAATCAAATCGAAGTATGTTTATGTCGTTGATACGAAAGTAAATCACGAAAGAGATTTTCTATTAAAATAATATAATAAGCACAGCTTTGCTCGAGGAGCCATGTTTCTTACTATATATTCGTAACTTGATACTTATTTGCACATTGTCGCTTCAATAAAAAATCAATATCTTACCAAAAATAAAATTAAAATTAACTGCAAGGCAACAGTATGAAAAAATTAAATTATAAAGTAAACAAGTAGTGTAAAGTAAAACAGGTCATTTATTTGTTTGGAAAGTAAATTTTCTGTTATCTTACATGAAAGATATATCTTGAATAATTGCTTTATTAGATATACTTATAAAGTTTAATTGCGCTTAGTATTGTTAAGCGTTTTGTAAATAACATTAAATGAAAATGAAAATCCAGAGCCAAACATAGCTTTATACCTTTGATTAACTTTAGTCATATTGACATCTGCATATGTTTTTTTTTTCTCAATTCAGCCCCCATTTCGTAAGAGTGCGACATGGCAATTACTCTAAAAGAACAAAGGTATCTTATTATACATATTTGTCATTACACTAAATTACGCTAAATTGGGTCAAATCCGCGTTCTATAGTCTAAATTATTATTAACTACCGAATATTCAAAATCAACATAAAAATATACAATAGTATCATAAAACCGAGTGATTCTAGGTATGCTAAATGTTTGTGTGAGGGGGATAAATACGTGGTTAGACAAACAATATGAGAATAAAGTGCGGCTTTCAATAAAAATATATATATTTTTGTTCTTCATACAAATGAGCTTACACACTAGGAATCTGAATTTGTGCTTTAGGATTAGAGAAAATGGAGAAAAGAACGAATTGATAAGAGATGGTAATAAACTAGATACGTTATTCGTAAAAGAAAGAGTGGAGAGTGATGTTCTTGGTGGCCTGTTCAGCTCGAGGTCCCTAAATGGATGTAAGAGGCTGGTCTGGAGCGTCATGTGAGCAATAGGAAGCTTCTTTCATTAAGTCTTCCTTACATTAAGGCCGGACGGTTCAGTACGCCAGGGCTAGCAGTAGAGTCCATTGCCATGTCTTTCGATCACGTACTTTCTCACGTACTGTAGGACTTTGTCGCTGAGACCGAGGCTTGGCACCTGCCTCTCGAACTCGTCAAGGGTCGCGACGCCGACGAGGTAGCCATTGAGTTTCGCCGCCAGTGGACAGTTGCGCAGATCCTCGCTACCGCCCTTGAGGCCGATGTTCTCCAGGAGCCAGGGATGTTGCTGCAGCCGGTACTTCTGGTGGTAGCTGCTCAACCAATTTTGCCGAATGAGAACTCGCGGATGGTGCACATTCGAGGCCCTACTATTGTTTGTTGCAATGAAAGCTCATGCTCGTTTTTTGGTTTTTATATTTGTTTTATTTATTTATTTTTTTACTTGCTTGCTTGCTTTCTCGATATTCCCATCCCATTGTAAAGCGTATTATTATTTCTTCGTCTATCCGTTACGTCCCTATATTCACGCTAATTGTGCTAATATAAAAATATAAAGAATAATATAACAATTGGCAAGACTCGTGGAATTATTATTCATGTAGAGTACGCATGTAGAGTGTAATAGTAATGGAATTTACAAAGGATTATTAAAGGTTCTGCAATGAGTGGATTTAAAATGAATTTAGTTTCAGAGAACCTTGGATTAAAAATTAATAAGCAGAAAAAAAGAAGAAAAAAAGAATAAACATTATCTTAATTGGAACGAGCTGCGATGTTGAATTTTTTGCATGTTTTTTTGCATATTTCTTACCGCCTTCCACCAAATATTTTAAATATTTCGTGAAATTGGGTTTAAGTTTGTTAGTTAACCATTTATTGATATATTATCCAAATTGTCCGAAAATTTTCCAATTGTATTTCACGACTTGTATTTTACAAGATATATTTATAATATACGACTATATTATTTAATACATTTGATTAAACTAAAGAGTTTCATTCTTAATGCATGAAAATAATAGTTTATTGGTCAGATAGTCATCGTAATTACGTAATCGGCCGATGATTTATCGCTACGATTATTGCAATATCATCGTGAGACTAAGTTTTTATCCTTATTTGTAAACTCTGTAAGAACATAGTTAATCTTTGCCTTTGAAAGTAGTAATTTTTCCACTCAATATTCAATTATCATTCGTGTATATATGCTTTGTAAAGAACTTATCGCAAAATAATCAGAAATAGTTTCAACTAAAAAGTATGTCTCATGCGTTATTTTATTTTTCTGTCTTTCACTTTATTATAAGGCACATCAACAAAAGTCGTTAAGTGTACGATTACAGCTCGATTTTACTCTTTGTATTTTATTCGCTTTAAATGAATTAACTCCGGCCATTCTTCGATGCATTCTTAATATAAACTTTTTAGAATTTTAATGTAATTAATTAGAAAATTAGCGAACGATTAACGAATTCGAGTGCGTTATATACCACACAATTATTATTACTCATTAAGCGAAAAATATACGGAAAAAATACTTAATTGAATATCGATCAATTTTATTAAAAAGAAACTTCCTCGAAGTTATTTTAAACAAAGAATTTCCGCCGGCAATACAAAAGTAATTATTACAGCTTATGTGTGTCGTGTAGAACGCGAGAGAAAGCACAACAGCATATATTTTATAAAGAAAATCCAATCAGCCTTCCGTATGTTGAGACTGGCATTTAAATGACACCATCTGTTTAAATAATGAAAGCCAATCTTCAATTCGAGAACGAAAAGTATGAAAATACAGATTTTCAATCCGGAAATGGGTAATACGGTGTTTGCAATGCTTCGTCAATGATTGCAATAACAACAAGCAGCTCGGAAAATTGCGTTGACGATATAACTGTCGTGCAAAAATAGAAATAAGCGAGAAAAAGAAATAAGCGAAAAAAACCGAGAAACGATCGAGAAATAGTTTCGCATATAATCTGCGATTACCAAGAGTCGGCAGTGCGCATATTAATGAATACCTGAGCATAAATTATGATATATTATGATACGTGTAAAGCTCATTAACGGTATACGTACTCGTCTTGTGCGCATGTTCGTAATTTGTATTATTGTGCAGATAGTGCGACGTTTGCTGGTAGTGACTTGAATTTGAATTGCCATCTTTTGGCGATTAATTTATTATGTTTGTTTTAATTTGCGCACGGATTTGCACGTATGAAGTTTTGTAGCGACGATGAGAGGCCTAATGAAACCGCGTAATTTGTACTTCGGCGTATGACCTTGATTATTCTCTAACATGATATGCGTGCAATTGAATAGAATCGCGCTTCTTTTTATTGCTAATGAAAGGAGGCCGTTGATTCCTTAAAATTGAACAATAAGATTAATATTCCGTACAGGTTATGTCGAACGAGAGAAACAGAAATGCCGACAAATCCGTATTACGTGTCCATGTATTCGATCATTTAAATTCTCGATACAAGTGTTTAGCGATTGTCAATGCATTTAAATGCCTGCAGGAATAGGAAATACAAGCTGAGAAGGGAATATTTGTACTTGAGTTTTTGTACGTATGTACACGCCCAACATGTAGATTTTTTTATTTTGGCAGTTCAGTTTTTTATACGATAAATGATCTCATTCATGTCTTTAATAAGCACTTATTTGTATTCGAGGCTATTAACACTGTCGATAAATTTCATTTTAATGATAATCGAGGTATATCTGTATTAATTGAACATGCGTCGCCTTTGATCTAATAACACGAACAATAATAATTTAACTTTAAATGTTTGTACAATGAATGGCTATATTGAAGAAACCCATAATCGTATATTTTTATAATGTCGATTTATTCTTGTAATTTTCAATTGTTACAATTTTCAGGCAGCGCACTTGTTAATATTCTAAAGTAGATAAATAATAAGTTATAATAAATTATACTTACTCCTCGGCGGGATAAAACTTTCTGAATGGACTGATTTCCGTTATGAATTTTTCGTTCTTCTCGCGTTGCAAATAATCACGTGACTTTTCCGCCAATATCCTCTGCTCATCATTATGATACAAAATCAGCGATATGTACTGGATAATAAACAATAACAAAAATATTAATTTTCATTCTCCTTGCGTGTATATTGCGTTACTCACTATACCGTGTACAATGTTAAATATTCTCTTACGTCGGTGATAAAATAATAAATCATAGAATAATAATAATAATAATAACTATAATGACAATAACAACAACAACAACAACAACAACAACAACAACAACAACAACAACAACAACAACAACAACAACAACAACAACAACAACAACAACAACAACAACAACAACAACAACAACAACAACAACAACAACAACAACAACAACAACAACAACAACAACAACAACAATAATAATAATAATAATAATAATAATAATAATAATAATAATAATAATAATAATAATAATAGTAATAATAATAATGATTATACAGATATTAAAAATAATACTAATTACTCTGTTGATAAATTGCAATGTAATTGAGTAATTTCCGATATGCAGCAAAGAATATTGTTTTAAATGAATGATAATTTATATGGAGAGTATTGTAAGAGTGAAATAAAATTATTTATTGATATTTAATATCAACCTTTATATCTAATTTATTCATTTATTTTATGGTTTCTTAATTGCAATATGAAATTCAAAGACAAGTAAATTAGATCGTATGAAAGATTTCTCGATCGATCATTTCTACAAGAATTTTCTCCATGTTTTTTTTTATTTTCGGTCATTTGCCGCTCTACTTGTTTTTATTTATTTTGAATGTAACGAATACTTTATAAGATTTTTTAGTATATATTCATTGTATTGCATTCATTGATCGATGAAGCTAGCTCATACGAAGAATACTGAAAACTTTACGAAAACTCATTAACCGAATTAAAAAACATTTATAAATTTATTATTGCTAATTAGACATTAATATATCGTACTCGTGTATTGCAATGTACTTGGTACTCGGATAGTAATCGGTATTTATGGATAGAACACTGTTTTTAGACAAAGATTTATAGAATAAATGTTTTTTCTTCTTAAATAATTATTATCATAATTGCCTTCGTGAAAAGAAGTATTAATTATGTACTTGGTAACGATAACAAAAGGCATTGTCTATTACGTAACATAATTTTAAAGTTGTACTTTTTTATTCGCATTTATAAGGATTAATAAAGTATTTTATGTGATTATTAATTTGTTAGAATACTATTATAAAATAACACTATACAAATCCTACAAAATCGAATGAATGCGAGATGATTATATAAATTTTTTAAAAATTACCTACTCTTATTAATCACAATATAAGATTAAACATAAAAAAAATAAATAAATAAACAAACAAACAATAAAAAGAATGAAAGGTAGTAATTTGCGCAATGGTGCACTTGGCGAAACCTTGAAGCGTAAAGTTTGTAAAGTAACATGAGTACAATCTCAAACTGATTTAAGTAAATATCCTCACATAACTTTTTTTCCAGTCTTTTATTTGACATTTATATTGAACATTGAGTTTAGTACGCAGATGAGCAAAGAATTCTGTAAACAAAGATACGCGCACAGATGTAAATCTAGCTTGGAAGAAATTTATTAGAAAAATTATACCTCACTTTTCCTAAAATATTTGCTATATTATTCGCTGCACTCGAAAGTTTACTCGGGTTTTTTTCGTTGGTGGTTTTCTCCAACTCTCTCCGGCATACTCGACTCACCTGTCTTTTAACGAATTTCGTCAGACCGTACTCGTGATTGTTCCAGAACAAATTTAATAGTTGCTTATAGGTGATCACCTCAGGGTCGTATTCTATGTCGATGACCTCGGTGTGGTCGCCTCTGAGAAACAAAAATTATGTTAGTTCGTTTATTCAGAATCAGCGCTCATCGGGAATTGTGTTGCATTTAGCTTAATTCAAGGGTTACGTGAAAGTCATGAAGTAGCTACGAGTTTTACCCATGACAAAATGTATTAAAGCTTCATTTAACAACAGTTTTCATTACACGTCAATGCTAATACATAAAAAATATAGTCGAGGAACCGGAGAGAGCCATTAATTTATCGATCGCCTTTCAATACAGTAGCTCGTGTATGTAAACAAAGGCGTCAGTACAATAGGAACTTAGCTACTTTGGCAATTTTATAATGGTCCGAGGTCCACGAATTACTTATTGCACGATAATATGCAAAAAGACTAGCAAAAAGAACACCTAAAAAGAAGGTCAAAAAATACTCTGGGAAATCGCGTTATTTGTAATGTAGAGTAACCGCGAGACGGTAACTCCCAACAGTACGTAACCAAAGACGAAAACAATCGGACTTGGCTGTGTGGAGTGACGCTCGGACAAAGGCAGAAATTATCCGAAACGGAGATGAGAGGCGCATCACGTGCACCACAGAAATCACGGAAATTTTCATAATCTGTACGCATAGCACAAAACGTAGATTAAAATTACGAGCTCACAGATTGCTGTAGGCTGGATTGTCCTTGAGTCCGCCGGCGTAGCCGACGCAGGTGCGTATGACCCCGGGTGTCGCCCCGAAGAGTGAGTCACCGGCCCAGAAACAGCCCATACCAAATGTCGCCCTCCTCGCAGTC